GTCCCCCCCCCCCCTCACTGACGAATTCTTAAAAAATGCCCTGTTCATGACCCTCCAAATCTATGTTCATGACATGGCACCTGTGGGTCACCGTAGTTAAAATTAAGTTTTACGAAAATTTTCTCTTTCACGAATCACGAACGATTTTAATCAGCGAACAAAACGATAATTTTCAAACTTGAACACAGCCAATGTAGTAGTGGAAACACCAAAAAGCGAACGTAATTAAAATTACGTCATATTTCGTACATAGTTACATAACAAATTTGCAGTTTTGTGGTGAATTTTGGCGACATTGAAGTTCTCTAAAAGTTGAAGTTGAAATCGAAGTAAGATGGCTGTTAAAGTACACATTGAATACTGGTAAGGGATCTACGTTTTTTATTGTAAATTTGTTATAAGTGCATGATTGCCGTCGCGACAGTCGATGGATTGTATTGTATGTAGTTTTGATTTTTTTGGACTGATCCTACAACTGTTTTATTTGGATTTCAGGAAAATAATTTGCAAAGTTGAGATCAGATTTTAACTCCCAGGGTAGAATGTGAAAATATATTAATTTACTTATAATTAAGAACGTCTGAACATTCTTTGTTTTCATTCTCGAAGTGGAGAGGTCCGGCAATTTCCGAGCTCAATTTTTGTTTGTAGACACACTTCCTGTTAGGCATGCCAAGACAAACCAGAAGATTATTTACCTAATTATCCTTACAATACAATACACCCTTCTGGAAAGTATGAAATTTTGGCTATAGATCCTTGTTTTCGTGTATGAGAGGTTATAGTTAAATTGTGACATACTTTCTGGAAGAGTCTATTGAGAATATAAATATGCACACTAGGGGCGCTTTCCATTTCGACAAAAAAAACAGTTTGCAGTTCCGGAATGTCCAGTGGCAAAATGGAACGCTACAGCGTGACAGGCCTTGTAAATGATAGGAGGCTAACAGGCGCTTTCCATTTGACGGAAATTCCGGAAATCTTGCTTGAAAATCAAATGGAACACGTTAATTTCTGGAATGATGTTTCTTTAATTTCGAAGAGTTTGACACTACCGCTCAAATCTCTCCTGCCAGCATTTGGTGAAATAAATCCAGACTCGAGGCACTGAAATGGTCGAGAACACGCCATTTTTCGTTTTGGTGGCGGTTTTTGCTCAAAAAACTTTTGGAAAGCAGCAACGTTGATTGGGAAATGTTTTAATGGAATGTAAATATTTCGAAAATTCCGGAATTTCCAATTTGTGGAAAACCGCGAGAGATTGTCCGGAATTTTCGAAACAACATTCCAGAAATTAACGTGTTCCATTTGATTGGGTGGCCCATATGACCACAAAGCTATGGGCCACCCATTTAATATTCGTACCCCCCCCCCCTGTTGAGGATACATGTTTTCATAGTTATACCCTTGAAGAATTCCAAGCTCAAAACTCTTCACTCCCTGAAGAATATTCCAAACTTTGAAAAATTTCAATCTCTAACCTTTTTACCCCTGAAGAATTCCAAGCTCAAAACCCTTTCCTTGACGAATTACAAGCTCAAAACCCTTTCCTTGAGGAATTACAAGCTTAAAACCTTTTAACCCTGAAGAATTACAAGCTCAAAACCCTTTATACTTGAAGAATTCCAAGCTCAAAACCCTTTAATACCCCTGTAGAATTCCAGTGATCCTTGACAGGGGGGGGATGATTATTAAATGCATAGCCCAATGTCACTTTAATTTGACTTCGATTTTTCAATTATTATTTGGCCTCCAGCTGTGCCAACATTAGTGATTTTGATTAAAATTACTGAATAAAGTGAATTATTTGCTGGTTAAAGTCTAAAATTTGTGCCTTGAATTTACTGAAAAAGGGCCTTGAAAGTCCTGGAAAAGTCCTTGAATTTCACCTTCACCAAAGGGTGGACACCCTGATGTAAGCATCATTTTTAGCAAATCAAAGAATTCATACCAGTCCTGAGGATATTGAAGGATATTACAAGGATTAGAATACTCTGGTAGCCCTGGCCGGCCTTGAGTGACAACAGGTTTATTGCATCTGTTTTAGTGGTGGATGAGGGTACCTCCCTCGCTTCCGGGAACTGGAGCACCGTATCAAGAAATCAATTCCTGATGCTACTGTCACTGGTCAAATTGGGAGAAGAAGTAAGAATTAGAGTAAAATACATATCTGAGACACACTCTATTTTAATTAAAAACTACTCTTCAAGCATCTATGCATAGCTATATATATATATATATTTACATAAAGCGTAATATGTACAGTATACTATATGACACAAAATGCACCAAGAAAAATGGGAAAATATGACACTCTTAATGCATGTATAAAACAAAACAAAAAAGTAATGTGATTGTAACCCATTGAGAGACATTGCTCTCCCCTTGATGAGTAAAAATCATCTGGCATTAGTAAAATGATAAAGCAGGGCACATTTAATGGGATCACTATTTATTTTTTATATTTTTAAATATTTTTTATTTTAAATTTGTGGTTTTTATATTAAAATTTGCTGCCTAAAGTAGGCTTTACTTTCGACAGTAGCTTTTGGCCTCACTCGAATACACAATTATATTAACTATGCAATGTTTGTAAAGCAGTGTTCACCGTCATGGCTTAAATCAGCATATTTAACTAGAAAACTGTAGATGGGTAGGGATTCAACCACCTGAAAATTAAAACTAAAGTAGTTAATCTTTTAAAACTACATGTTGTTAATGTGTCCTGAAATGAAAGATTCAGGGATCAAAACAGAATAAAAAAGAGAGGGAAATCTGCCATTCTGCCCATGTGAAATGAATAAAATCATCTGGTATTAGACAGATAAGATGTTAACTATAAGTATCATCTGTATGAATAATTAGAACTAATTATAAAATTGTTTTGTATGTGTGTTCCAGGTTCATTCGAGATTACAGTTAATGATACTCTTATTTACTCTAAGTTGGAAAAAGGCGGCTTTCCTGAATTCAAGGAGGTATAATAATTATAAAGTTATTTGAAATTTGGAGATGAGCCAATCACAAAAATTGTGATTATACCACCAACCTAATAATGATAATGATCAGCATGTAACTAAACTATAAATTTGAAAGTTTATAATGTTTTAAAATGGAGATTGGAGGTTTTAAAATGTTTTGACTAGGAATTGAACATACCTGTTTAATGAATTTATTGAGCAATCTACATATTACGTACTATATCAGGTACAAAGATAAAAACTTGACAAACGAAAGACAAAACGCACGTCACAAATCACAAATTAGTAGATACACTCAAACGGAAAAGCACAAACGGGACACTAAAAGTCCCATGCGAGGTGCTCCCCGTAATTAGTTTTGATATAGTTAATTAAATACACACACACACATATATATTACTTGTGGTATTAAGTCCTATGGCAAGGACAGTCACGAGTTAATGACCACGTACAAGCCATGTCTACGTCATAAACATTACTAATTAATGTATAGTATCTACGTTTAAGATAGTGTTTAAAAGAGTTTGGATTACGGAAAATGTCAAGTGAGATTTCTTGGCACACTGTGTTCCAAATCTTTACAACACGATTGTAGTATGAAGACTGGAAAATATTAGTTTTACAGAGTTTACTTTGAAGGATATATCTTGACATATGGCTCAGTCTAGTACGACCATGGCTCACAAACGACACATAGTTATCGATATTGACGTCAATGTAACTAAACAATGATTTGAAGAAATACACCAAGTCTCTGACTTCTCGATCATAGGTTAACGGTAGCAGATCTAATGCTAATAACCGTTCTCTGTACGACAGTTCTCCTCGCTTTGTCATTGTTATCCACCTAAGTGGGTTGTTCGTGCAAACGTTTTCAAGCACAGGGCTGTACGCAGGATTTTTTCACCAGGGGGCAGTAAGGCCTATATACTGAAAAAAGACCCAAATATCCAAAGAATAATTAATAATGACGTTATAAAAATTGTAAATGTAGTTTACGTGTAAAGTTTCGCTCGTGTAAAGAAGCAAAAAAATTGTTCTGTTTTTTCATACTGTATGTTATTTATTTAACGTTCTCTGACTTAATATTTATTTCTACAGGGTGTATCAAAAAAGCGCAATCCTCGACTGAAATGTAAATTGCTAAACAAATAATAGATGAAAACGTTAAAGTTTACATTCATTTTAAAGCGTAGCCATTCAGCTTTCTAACAGTGGGTTGTTTCTTAAATTTGACTCATTGGTTCGCGGATAATAATACTTTACGTTATTGCGATTGGAGATTAAAAAAATTGAGATGGAATAACAAATCGTTCTCATGAAAATAACTGATTTTTTCATTAAAACAAACAAATGTTGCATTTTATTAAATGGATTGTAACAATAAGTATAATTACGGCTTTTCTTCCACTATTATTAACTCAGTTTGAAACTTCAAATGCGATATAATTTTGGCTTGGACCATCTAAGCTGACTGACATCAACTTGCTATAATTTCTGTTTACATAACATCGCAATTCGATGACACTCTGGCTCAGACACCAGAATGTTTTGACGATTTTTAGCATTCGTTTAGGATTTTCAAACAACCTGGTCTTTTTTAAAATACTTTTAATTTGTTCTTACGTGGTTTTCCAGTTGTAGTGACGACAACATTAAAGTTTAAAGAAGAAAATTCTAACATTTAAACCGACTAAACAATAACATAGTAAAATTGCATAATTAAACAGCAACTAAAAATGATAGGTTTTACTAAATCTTTTCTTGTGCAATTATTACTAGCATTGGAGACAAGGATAATAGTTTGTTTGAAAGAGAAAAGAACAGGCTTTGAACGAAAGTTATTAAGCACAAAAGATGAATTGCGTTTATTTTGATACACCCTGTATACTGTAAGCTTTCGGCTATCAGTCTTTATTATATGCACAAGGTCTGGATATGAGGTATTCTGCAATCTGATTGGTTCTCTACTACCAGGATATTAGCTCATATCCTGCTAGTAGAGAAAAACAAAATGGCGGCTCAAATTGAATTTCCGACGTTTCCGAACAGAAAATGGCAAGTTGTTCGCTTTTTATAGCCTTTACAGAATTAAAAACACAATAAAAAACTCCCACAAATTATTTACAGGTTAGGAAATGAATTTTTAAAATTTAAAATATATATTTTTCAAAAAATAATCGGCCAAAAGAGCGAAGATGAAAACATAAACAAAATAGAAAAATATTGAAAATATCCGAAAAGCAAAGTTTGTGAATTCAGACCTTGTGTATATAATAAAACAGTTATTCCACTCACTCTCGTCAAATATGAGCGATAGCCGATTCGGCGCTACGCGCCTCATCGGCTATCAGCTCATATTCGACTCGAGTTCGTAGAATAACTGTTAAATAGCCTTCGACGGGTGTATACACATAATTCTATATATTTTTTCAATCATACTATATGTGTTGAACATTACCACAAACTGACACAAACACAGTTTTTATTCCAGCAGGGTGTTAGCTACAGTCAAAAATTACGCGTTAAACGCGGTTTTCCCAATTACTTTGAGGTCGCAATTTCCCAATTTGGGTCAGCCAAAAAATAGTTAAAAACTACTCAAAATTACTCCCAAAATGCGGGAAATGCCATTTCAAAGACACAAAAATTTTAAAAATCGAGAGGGGGCAACCGCATGCCCCCAGACCCACAAAGAAATGCCCAGCTTCAGGCTAAAATAGATTTCCCAATTTCAGGTAAACGCGGATTTTTTTTTACTTTTGGCTAACACCCTGTCCAGTCCCCCCCCCCCCGGCAATATGACATCTCGCTTAAGCAAGCGACGTTTTTGACAACACGAACGTTGACCGCAAGCAAATTTGACGTTATCAACCAAGGGGGAACTGGATTAAAAACTGCGTTTGTGTCAGTTTGTGGTAATGGTTAACACATGTGACCAAACAAAAGATTTTTAAAAGTTTTTTGCTTCCTTACACGAGCGCTATGAAGCGAAATGCAATCAAAATTAGTTATACCAATTTTCAGGTGACGTCCGTGTTGACAAAAACGTCACTTGCTTAAGCTCGCTAATAGACAGTTTTAGATAACAAGACGGGGACGTCAAGAGGACGTGGATGTCGTCATTTGGCGCCAACTATCGTCAGCTTCTGGTTTGCGACGTCGTCTTGGACGATTTCACGACGCGAAAATACAATTTTCACGTCCTCTCTAGAACGTCACAGATTTTTGTTTCTTTTGAAAAAAATATGAGACTATGCATAATAAAAATCATCCTATTTTGTTCCCCATGCATTGTTTAATGATACTAGCTAAAGTTTTTCCATTGCCAAGGTTGTTTTTCTTGTATTTCGCTAAATTTTGGACGAGCTGATTTTCGACAAATACTTTCGGTCGCCATAAACAAATCAACAAAACTGCAAGCATTGTTAATAACCACTTCAATACCGCTAGTAATCTTCACCAAAACAAATATTTTAGAACAAACTAAACTGAAGTTATATTAACAACTGTTTAAAATCAGGAAAACGTGGGAAAATAGAAAAATAAAAGCACTTAAAGGCAGTAAAAACTCAATCAATTTTAGTTGCTCTGTCACAACAGTGTAAAAAGTAGGACAAGCAAAAAAACGCTTTCCAGCGTGAAAAACTATCGTAAACAGTATTAAATTTTACCAATGTGAACACTGATGCTATATTTATACTGAACAGTTGACAAACTTGATTGAATAGGCTACAAACTAAAGCATTTAGCTCGTAAACAATACCTGTAGCTATTGTATTTATTCCAAATGATGCAACAAAGTTCACTTTTCAAAATACCGAAATATAGGGTTTTTTCTAAAAAAAACTTATTGAATGTTCATACTAATTCACCAGGAAATACTTAGCCAGTATTATATAGCCTTTTCTTGCACATATCTTGCCAACTGATTGAAAACAATACAGGAATGAACAGGTAACAAGAAAACAAAAATTTGCTTCGAGAAAGACAAACAAGCCGTCCCAGATTAAAACCCGGAAGTGAACGCGAGATGCATACGTCATTTTCACGTCCTCTTGACGTCCGCGTCTTGTTATCTAAAACTGTCTAATAACTGTGGACCACGGACATCATTTTTGGCGTCACGTTGTGTCATAAAGCAAGCAACGAACAAAATAGGGTTCGATAGGTAATGACACAATCGTCAACCACATCTAAAGAAACACCAGGCTCGGCAGACAAAAATTGGGTTGGTCGGGAAACAGCAACTGCCATGCACAGGATATTTCTTGTTAGATTATCTCATTGCCCACATAGATGAATTGCGAATATTTATTAGCAATGCAAAAATTGACATACTATCTGTAAATGAAACCAAACTCGACTCTTCAATCAATGATCGGGAAGTATGTTTGGCTCGCTATGAAATTGTTAGAAGGGACCGAAATGTAAATGGTCGCAATGGTGGGGGTGTGTGCATTTATATTAGGTCTAACATAAACTACCAAGTTAGAGATGATTTGCATTCTGCAACTCTCGAAAATTTGGTAGTGGAGATAAAAAAAAACGCGATCTAAGTCTGTTTTAGTCAGTACTTGGTATAGACCCCCCCCCCTGACTCACCAATGAGTCAATTTATTGAATTTGAAAAAATGATTGGGTCATTTGATGCCGAAAACCTGGAGTATTTTGGGTGGTCTAAATGTTGACCGTATTTCAACAACTGCATCACCAATAAAAAATAAATTAAAAGAGATATTAGATATTTACGGTATTAAACAATTGATTAATGAATAATGAACCAACCAGAATTCCATGTACGTCATCATCTAGAACCCTGATTGACCTATGTCTTATAAATACACCTCATGTTGTAGATGCTGGAGTCTTATCCCTGTCAATAAGCGATCATTCATTGATTTATGCAATTCGTAAGGCTCACTATGTACAAGGGGTACCAAAAACGGTACATATTAGATCAATGAAGCAATTTAATAGAGAACACTATTTACGAGATCTTGAACAAAATATTGGCACAATGTTTATTGTTCTGCGGACCCTAATGTGATGTGGAAAACTTGGGAAGAAAACTTTTAAAATGAGCGCAATTGACAAACATGCACCATTGAGATCCAGGCGGGTTAAAAATCGGAAGTCCCCCTGGATAACAAAAGAATTAAGACAAAAGATACGACATCGTGATAGTTTAAAAAAGAAAGCGAATTTATCTAATGATCCTCAAATTTGGCAGCAATACAAACAGACTCGAAACCGAATAAACAAAAACAATGAAATTAAGGAAGTTAAGGTGGCTCGCTTAGAAATGTTGAAAATGCGGAAACTAGATCACCTTTTTGAAGAGATGATGCTCTTTACAAATCGAAATTTGTATATTATATTTACAGCGACAATCAAACAGTCGAAAATTGGTCAGAAAAGTGACGTCACCACTGTTGCTATGGCAACAATGACGATTCAAGATGGCCGATATTTTGGCTTTGAACGCATTTTACTTTAAAAAAAGGTCGGTTAGCCCCATTTTTTATTTCAGAAAACATTTTCTTATAGTGCAATGCAATCTGACCAATTTTAAAAAAATCTGTAATGCAAAAAAAAATTTATTTCGAAAAACCATGTTTATAAATTTTTTAAAAATTTGGCATTTACAGAATTTTTTAAAAATTTGTCAGATAGTGTATTGTACTATAAGAAAATGTTTTCTGAAATAAAAAATGGGGGTTAACCGACCTTTTTTTAAAGTAAAATGCGTTCAAAGCCAAAATATCGGCCATCTTGAATCGTCATTGTTCCCATAGCAACAGTGGTGACGTCACTTTTCTGACCAATTTTCGACTGTTTGATTGTCGCTGTATATATAATATACAAATTTCGATTTGTAAAGAGCATCATCTCTTCAAAAAGGTGATCTAGTTTACGCATTTTCAACATTTCTATAAACTGTAGCGAGCCACCTTAAAGTCAGGAAAATTCAAAATCTAAAACTGCGCGAAGAACATCGAGATTAGGATATTAGAAGCTGGAAAGAAAAATTTTAATGAATCTAAACCATGACAAACTTCGAAGTATTGTTGTGGTTTGAAACAAAAGGAAGAGTACATTTGCAAATATTTACGTCGACGCAGCAATTGCCGAACTGCTAGACCAAGAGGATGATGAAATTCCAATGGACTAGGACAAAGAAGATGAATAGATTTGTTATATTTAAGATTATTATATTTTTAGAATCGCATAATCTCTCTTTCCCTATCTGGTTTCCACTTTAATGCTAAAGTCGCTGCAAATACAAGCCAGCGCATTAGCCATGAAATTCATGTTTGCAAACCCTTGCTGTATCGGAGCAATCCCATAAGGATATGACAGTCAAGACACCCAGTCCTTAACTATGTGTTTATACGTACATTCCGATGGCAAGAAATTCCAACGAATGCATAAACTCGCGGCAAAAGAACTGTTTGTGAACACAGTTTTACACATAGAGTTTGATGACCTTCAACGACGCCGTCGAGGCAAAACCGTTACCAGATTTACATTGTCTAAGAAACAGAAGAGGAAAGAACTGTATGATTTGTCCTGGACAATCAAAGCATATCTTCACATCTTTGACAATAGGCTAAACATCACAGCTTTGTCTAAACTACAGCTTATCTAACTACATTGAGCTAGATATTCCATATATTACAGTGTCTGACATATATTACAGTGTCTGACATATAATACAGTGTCTGACATATATTACAGTGTCTGTGTCAAAGACGAGTTCCTGCAGGAAGAATAATCAGCATCAGAATATCATGAATTCTGTAAACTAAAAATTTCTAATAGAAAGGGAATTGCTGCGAAGTAGAACCACAGACGACAAGTTGCAGGTAGCATTTTTATTTGAAAAAGTTGAACTAAATACAACTTGTGCAATAAACTAACTTTATATTAAATATAATGTTCAATAAACTGACTTCATATATGGGCAGTTGGGAATCATACCTTGCACGACTGCAACCGGTTTTCCCTGTACCAGGTTTCCCATTACGCCTTACCAATTTTCATAAGCGATGCGCAGTGCCGCCGTGGGTCCCCCCCCCCGTCGACAACTTTTTTGGTAAAAAAAAAATTCCGGACAAGAACGGTACAATTGCTTACGTAGCATTTTTTTCCCAACTAGTAATCGGCGAGCCTGCACATATCCAGGTCTGCTTCACCACGGAGATTCCGACAACATTGACAATTTTCCGACGGGTCTCAACAATAGGTGGGGCCATGGCCCCCCTGCCTCCCCCGGCCACGGAGCCACTGGCGATGCGATTGAACGGATACAGCGAAGAGCACTTTCTGTTATATACTCAAGTTGTAATTATGACTGTTGAGCACAAAGTGGACCAAAGATCCTCATGCAGTGACAGACGAATAGAGGCCTGTCAGAAACTCGTTAAGTGTGTCGTTGCTGATCAGAAGCTTCACAAACTGTTGCCACCAAACTGTTGCCATCATATATACCCAGAGTTATAAAACTGAAAATTTTTAAAAACGTTTTCGTCTTAACGAACTAAGCAGCTCTTATTAAAAACTTTATATATTATATAGTAACAATTTTAAATATTTATAATTATTCCTTCATCATATACATAAATGTTTAGATGACTGAAGCAGGTACTGTTCGTTGTTTTAGTTTAAACTAAACTTTAATTTCGACTAGTTTAGTTTAAAACTTTGTATAAGTTACGCAAGTAACCCAATTGGCTGAGATGAAGTCTTTCTTTAATAATGAACCAACCAATTTTTTATTCGATTATTTTTATTTATTTTTATACTGTGAACCCTGTTGGAAAAATTGGTCACGCAAGATTCAAGGTCGTCAGATGGATCGGATACAGACAATTAATACAGCACTACTGCATTAGAGAAGATTCGTAAGGTTAATATGAGCACGAGGGGTTAAAGTGGGACACCAAAGTGCCATCAAGACGTCAGCTATCGTACAGATGTCGTACGAAAGTTGAATAATGGAAAGTGCAGAACTTCGATGAGTGGGAATGAAACGCTTTGGCAGCGACACACCAATTTTCATGTATTTAATTTATAGATTACTAATGGCAAACACAGCAAACATCAGTAGCATATCAGATGAAGGAGATGGGTTGTCATTGGCATATGTCTTACCAAAGTTCTTACACCAGTTTGAAGAAATGTCGCTTGTGTCAACCGCCTGATGAAATTGACAAGCACGTTATCCAAAAGTACAAGAAGATACTATCAAATACCTTTATTAAGGTATACACTCGCTAGTGCATTTGTGTGGTGCAATGTTGAGAGAGTTGTGGGATGCGTGGTAGTAGCTAGATTTTGTTCTCTAAATTTGCTCTGTATATAGCATCACACTCCCTTTTACTGTTGATCCAGTGATTACATTGATACACAAAGCCTGAGCCATCAATTGTGTAGCAGGCGTTAGTGCTGGCGGAAGAGAGGGCGTCGTTAAATAAACGCCTGCCCAAATGCCTTTAACAAATGTGTTCTTGACCGACGAAACTTCGGAAAAGCTTCCCAGTGGTCAATTTCGTTAACGGAAGTAATTATGTAACTCAAATATCAACAATAATTTTGCTCGCTTAAACCTAACCCTAACCCTTTACCCTAATACCTAACCCATAACCCTAACTTATATTGGTGCGCGAAACATGGAACGATAACCAAAAGTTTGATCTTTCAATTATACATTTTAAATATATCGGCAAGTCAAAGCTTGCTCGAGCAGGGATCGAATATTTCTTTATAGTTGTCTTGTTATTTGTTCATTTGAAAGTATAATTCAAGACCAGATAGTTGAGGCTATATCACTTGGCATTGCAGCTATGAGGTTGGATGATGATTTTAAAAATAACATTTCAAAACATGCTCAACTGTTATTTGCTATACGGCAGAATACGCTAAACAACCGTGGTTCAGGAGTCTTGTCAGTGAAAGATAAAAGCTCTGTGCTGTGACTGTTCTCTAAAATAGCTTCAAAAACTCATGAGGAAATACAAATAGCTTCAAATATTCATGAGGAAAACACAAAGAAAAATCATAAACCAGTCGTATCTTTATATGTGATAGAGATTTTCCTTGATTTTCTCCACAACGAATTTGTTTAAAGCTACTTCGCCAATGAACTTACTAGATCAATGGTTTTTGACGCAATTTAAAACACTCGCAGTGCGTGTTTTATCACACCATCTTTATATCTGATAAAACACTGCTGCTCATGTTTAAATATACATAAAATCAATGCAAACTCCCTAGTTGGCGAGCAAAAAGCATGCATGACGCTAAATATGAATCTCGACTACGATTGGATAATGGGTGAAGGTGCTAATTAAATGGGCGAGAACATATTTGTCACAGCGATTTGGGCAGGCGTTTCCTCAAACGACGCCCTCTCTTCTCCCGCCCGCACTAAACTATCGATGTCGTTCTCAATCTTTTTTATCTAATAGCAATGGTGGTTTAAGTTTTCTCTATGTTTGTATGTAGCAGAGTGTGATATTGGTCTGGAGGATCTGAAGTCCATAGCCAAGGACCTGAAAGCAATACGGCCAGTTCAGAAAATCATTTCCGCTTCCCTTAGAATAGATTGGGAAGAAGTTGAATGAAGAATTCTAAAAAGTGGTTTCTGCAGACCAATTGCATCGTTTTGTTCTGAGTGTATCCGTTGTTTACTTGCCATAATCATATAAAGCACATTCAACACATTACTCAGAAGAACGCGTACGTGTATTGATAGTCTAGCACTTGTTTTAGTCACGGACTCACTGTGTTGTAATAACGTACAAATTGGTGTTTGTTCCAGGAATGTATTTGTGGCTATATATAAGGTTCAATGTAATTTCATCTCCTTCCAATAACACGAACCTCTCCGCTACATCATTTAGCCGTGAATTGTTACCAGTTCTTGAAACATGGAGGCCTGGTTCCAACTTCATGTTAAGCATGCAATTATTATGGGAAGACATTTCCTGGTCAACTTAAGTGAATGTGAAGGTTGCTGAACCAACGGAACTAAATAATTGAAAGCCAATACCAAACGATATTTTTGCAAGGCATTACATTGCACCGAAGAAACAAAAAAAAATAAACTCAGAGATGCCCGTGAGCAGCTATAGTGCAAAGTTGAGATACAAGGGAAATGGTAAGCATGCAATGGCTATTAAACACCCAAAAGAAGCTTGTAACACAACGAAGTATGGTTATCGTTGCCAGTTTCTTGAAAGCAAAGAAGTGTGTTTGTCAACACGACGAAGCTGAAAGAGCTGCCATGGTTGAAACTCCGCCCACGGATGAAACCCATAAGGAAGATCCTTGCGAAAAG